AAATGGACCGGTCGTCTTGCAGAGTTCAGCTGGCTCTCGGGTCACGGCGCCACGTTGTAGGGTCAGTCCGTCTTACCATGCTAACTCTGAGAGACGAGACAGTCCAAGTAACTTCAAAACAGTGCTGATTTATTGAAAGGATCACAGGTAAAATTAACATTACACGCTCAAGTGTAAGATGAAAGACCCTGAACCCACCAGGCCTATACATTTTATCACCTCGGTTGGGCTAGCCCCATACTACACAGAAATGTCAACCGGGACGTCTCTGTTGCCAGCTTTGCAGCTGGTCATAGCAGTAGTCAAAACATGAAGCAAATCAACGTGTGAATGTGTGTGTCTGTTGGTTAAGTGGTGTGTAGCTAAAAACATTCTCACGACCTCTAGTACATGTCGTGGCTTAAACATAAGAACATATAATGGCTAAAGCTACAGTTATACACGTAGTAATAATAATATTAAACACCCTGTCTGCTGACAGTCATCAACTCTTCTCTCTAGTTATCCTTGACCAGATGTACCCTGTAGAAACTCATAAGCATGCCTAAGCATTTAACAGTCTAACTAGACAAACTATCTCCACTAAACATTTCTAATACATAAAGTATCTGTCCAATTTCTATCTGACTAAAAATACCTAACACCCTGTATCACTGAATTATTTGGTGTTTTAAACAGGCCAGTCACATTCAAACAGCTGTTTCATGCTCCAGCACACTGCTAACTGTCACAGCCTTACACAAATCTTTCATTTCTCCTCTTTTTATCTTTATCCTCTGCCTCCATCAAGCTGCCTTTTCTCTCTCAGGCTGACCCTGTCCTGAAGTTGAACTACAGCAGACTAGACACTCATAAAATGTCTAGCATCAGTGTCAGGGATGACTACCAGAGTGTCAGTCCTGTTAAAATATCTGTGTTGAAAGTAAAACAGTGGCCAGTATTTTGGCAGAACTGAAGTGCCATAGTGTCAGATAAAGCAGAAAGAAATCCACCCTTTCGTAGCAGTTATTCTACCCAGAGTTTGTTACAAGCAATAGCCTAATACACATACAGCACTGTTGTTGTGGAAACACACGAGTGTTTCATGTGCTGCTCAGCAAATACATTATCTGTCATTTCCTCTGTGTCAAATAACGAGAATAAAAGTCTATTTACTGAGCAACTGGGTTGAGGCAGGGTGAAGGGAGAGAAACGACCAGCAAATAGAATGTTTTCCTCCACTGTGGATGGCATTCAGTCCCCAGTGCTCCTAACAGGCGGGCATGCAACCTATCAATTCTCTTTGATTCCCTCTCACATATTCTTCACTGCAAAGACTGTGAAGACAGAGAACACACAA